AGTCAGTTCTTGGTAGGAGATTTTTCCATGATGAAGGTGAACAAGTTGTGACATGTAAAGCCCCTGTCAGGTGACAGAAACTGGAGTAGAAGTGTCTGGTAAAGGCCTTACCAAATAGCAGTGGACTAGAATGGCCAGGATATTGAAGATGCGTGGAGATTCCCTGATAGTAGCAACCATGGGTAGTAATCCTGGGACTTTAAGCATCACAAACCACAGTTCATCAGTGATGGACTAATAGCCAGGCTTGGTTGGGATAGGAACTGCAGTGTGAAAAAATAGAATGTGCTCTGGGGAGGGGAAGTGGCTTGGTCCAGGAACTGCTGGTGGTGTCCATCTGCTGGAAAGGCAACCCATAGGTGGTATGCTTATCTGGGCCACATAGTTACCCCATGGTACTGAAACTCCCTGATTCTGCTCTCCTGGTAGCCCCGTGCTCAGTCTTAGCCATATTGAGACTGAGCTGTAATTTATAGGTGGAGATGTCTGGTAGGCAGATGGAGGTGCCAGACTAGAGCTTGCGAGTAGGGAGGAGGTTCGGGTGCAGACAGATTTAGAGTAAGTACTCTGCACTGAATATCTTGTTGCTTCTCATTCTAGTGAGTGTGTGCACCTGTGTTTCTGTGTAGTTGACTATTCTTTAAGGTGTCTGTGAATATGCAATGTGATTATGATCAGAGGGAGAGGAGGGATGTTCCTTTTTTGGTGATATATTGGCAGGAAAATTACCAGAGAAGCTTCGGGATTTAATGTCCTGACCAGGTTGCCACAATACCAAATTATGTTAAAAGCAAGTTTGAGGTGGCATAAGAGGGCAGGACAAACTAGAAAGCAGGTGAGAGGGTCAAACCTTACAGCCAGAGAGAAAATAACAAGAGAGTGGAGGGAGCAATACTGTTTAAGGAAGACAGTGTCCTTGCTATTGCAATAGGCTGCTCCTCAGCCCCGCATCACCCTGTATTCCCCCCATTTCCCACTTTGGAAGTAGATCTTTGTGCTTTGTTGCGTCTCATTTTTGTGAGGCCCAGGGAAGAGGAGAGGATGCTGTTTGCTTTGTTGGGGGACTAGAGGATAGAGAAAAGAGAAGAGCCACCTCTTCTGCACGGCGCTTTGGGGAGGACTGACATGGGTCCTAGCTTGGGCTCCATCAGCACACTCCAAGATGGGAGAGGAGCTACCACCACTACTTTCTCAGTTCTTAACCAATCTGGGGAGTAACTGGACATAGCACATGAGGTTGAGGCTCTGAGCCTAGCATCCGACCTCAGAGGTGGACATGAAGGTTGGAGCTGTGGGTGCATCAGTTTTATTGTGAAATGCATGCATCAGTACACGTTCTTTGTGTGAGTTGAGTGCTCTGTGTGATCCTATGAGCTTTTCAGTGCTGAGCTGTGGGCAAGTCTAGCGTCCCATCCTACTCAAAATATAGCCTGGGGTCAAGGGGTGGCAGAAGGTAGGTAAGGATGACTCTGGACTGTACATTTGGAGCTACTGGACGAGCAGGTGGATGGATGGATGGGGCAAGTGGACCTCCCTGGGCACAGAGTCACACAGACAAGAGAAGACTCACCTATACTTGACGTGGGTCAGGTGGGTTCAGAGAAGGAATTTTGGGGGAATGAATGGGACAAGGAACTTCTTATGCCTTTTTTCCTGGGTTTACTGATGGGCCTGATGTGGAATTTAAGGTCTAATTTTAGCCATGTATTTGCGGTCTTCTGTGACTCATGGAAGGCCACTCTAGATGTGCAGATGACTTATATCTTTGAAAATGAGACCAGATTATTTCATCTCCAAGTTCCCCCCAGGTAGCAACTTAAATGTCATTTCCATGACTCTGCATTCGATTAGGTGTCCCCACCATGAGCCCCATCATAGGCTGCTTTTTTTTTTAGTCATGGTGGTCTCTTTATAGCCAGGCTTTTGAAGGGCCATGGTAACAGTATGGAAAAAGTCATGGTGACACTGAGGATGGGTTGTCTGGTTTTGGACAGGCATACCTTCATGTCTGTTTTTTGTTAACTATTTGTAGCTTTCCTGTTTTCCGATTTATTTCCTTTCTGCCTCTCACAGCTGATTCTCCGAGAGCTCCTGACCTCCGTGCACTGGCCAATCCCATGACCCCCTTGACTCTGATGGAATGCCATCTGGGAAGGGGCTGGGATGGGCACGGCAAGGCAAGAGGGGCACAAGGAAAGGGGCCTCACTTTCATTCCTGAATCATCTTTCCTTGGTGTTTGTTTTCAAGGACCTGACTCTTTCCAAAACAAAAACAAAAAAAACTCCAGCTGTATATTTAGACACACACATACATCTCTTCCCATTCCTGGCAGAGCTGCTGCCCGGCTGCTGACTTCTTTGAGCCGTGGCCGCAGGAGAGATGGCGTTTTTAAGCAGGATGAATTGCTGTCGAGCTGCCACCCTCCTGCACACGGGGCCATCAATCTTGTCTTGAACGCTGGGGCTGCTGGTTGGCCTCCTCAGGCTCATCTTTCTGGGGCAGAATTATTTACGGAGCCACTGCAAAGGTAATCTCACTCTCCAGCCCCATGGCCTGGGCCTCTCTCAGCCACTCTTAAAAATAGCCCAGGATGAATAAGGAGAGCCAGGGTCCAGTTACTTCCTGCACGCAGGGTCTGATCTCACCTCACCTCCTGCACCTGGCAGCTCAGCCCTTCTCAGGGGCTGCTGGACAGGCTTGTGGCCCTGCAGGAGATGGTCAGCGTGTCAGTCCTTCTCTGGCTCAGAGACTGAGTCAGTGGTAGTTTCCCTTAAGGGAAGTAGCGAAAGACGTTGGTCTGGGAGTCTGGGGGATCCTTCTCAGCTGTGGTTGTCCAGCCAGTTGGGTGTGAAATCTCAGCCCTGGAAGCAGCAAGTCCATCTGCAGAAGAAGACAGGCTGTTCAGAGGGATGAGGTTGGCCTTGGGCACAGGCCTGGCATCGTGGGGCATACTGTGTTCGGGATGATGACTGGTTTTTCCCATCTTGCACTTTCCCTTCTCTTGAGTGGCAAACATTTTTGCCAAGCCGTGGTGGCTGGGAAATGCCGTCTGTCCCCGTGCACTGTGTCCTTTCCCCTCCTGCCTTCCCGAAACCTGTCCGACCGGGGGGATGAACCAGGCTCCAGTTTGGCCTTTGGTCCCAGCCACTGCAGTCATTACCCGGATGACCTTGGGGAGGCCTCCTCTTGCAGCAGGCCTTAGTTTTCTCCCAAGGCAATTGGGGCAGGTAATCCTGGCTCCTGTCTCACCTCAAAAGGATGTGGTGGGATTGATTCATCAGGTTGGGGAAAATGCAGTCTGAATTCAGTCTGTATCTGAAAAATAAGGCTGTAGCCCTGCTGCCATCACGCTTGGGCTGGTGAATGTGCTTTAGTGCTTCTGCAAGCGTGTGCCTGGTGGGTGTACGTGTGTGTGCTGGTGTGTGTCAGCGTGTTGGAGGTGAACCTGTGTGTGTGGTATGGGTGCACACACCCACAGAGGGAGTGCTCTCCCTCACAGCTCACTGGCTGTCCACACCCGTCACAGGTCTGCTTCATAGCCTCCCCACCTCCCACTTCACTCTCTTGGATGTGAAGGCTCTGGGTCCCCTGTTTTCATATACAGTTGATCTTGGAGTCCCATAAGCTCCCCAGAAAGAGGACCGAATGACAGGTACAGATGAAGAAAGCTACTCGTTTTCCTAAGGCTCAGAACATTGAAGACTGAGCCTGGCCCCCCTGGCCTCTTCCTCACTTTTCTCCCCTGACCCCACCCCTGCCTTCCTGTTACTTCAAAAGGTTCCCAAAACTTGCTGTGCTCTTTCTTACCTTCAGGACTTTGCACCTGCTTTGGTTGGACTCTTGTCCCTTTGCTTGGATGCTTGTCCCTTCCCACCTGTGTTCCCTCCAAGCTTCCTTTAGGAATAAGCTTCAACTCCCCCTCCCTGACACCAGCACCTGCCGAATCCCCACCTTAGCCAGCCATGATACACATCACACCTTCTTGTAGTTGCTTGTTTAATTGTGTGTCTCCACCACCAGAATCCAAGCCCTATGAGGACATGGCCTTCCTGTCTTACTTGCCTTTGCCTAATACAGTACCTGCCACCTAGTTGGAGCTTAGTACATATTTGAATTAATTGTGAATGAATGAATGCATGAGTGAGCAGGAATGATTGATGGTGGGTGAGGGAGGACCCAGTGCTCCTGATGCTCTGGTTCATTGCATGGACTTGCAATGGATGGTTCATTTATTTGTGGGATGCCCCGACTGCCACACGGTTGCTTGATGGAACAGAAGGCTCCTCTGGGCTGCTTGGCCTGTCCTGGGATTCAGCAGAAGACCTCATCTGAGCACCTGGTCACGCTTCAAAGAAGCCCTAAAATGCGAGGTCTGCTTTCTGAATATCAGCGGCTGGGAAGGGACTCAGAGGGCTCTCGGGAAGCCTCTGTGAGGAGCGAAGTCTCCCCAAGGCAGCTATCCCAGGCTGGTGGTGTCAGTGGTGGCTTAACTCTCGTCCATTTCTCCCCATGGTTCCCATTTGGGTCAGACTCAGCCGGCTTCCATCTTCTCCCCTCCCCTGGCCTGTCTCCATCACCCCCACCAGGTTAGGTCCTGGCCCAGTCCACAGGGTAAGGGTTGCTCTCCCCAGCTCATGCCCCACAGCCTCTGGCTCCTGGGAGAGCTTCCTCTCTCCCCGGGTGCCCCCTGCAGCAGGGCGGCGGGTCTGGAGGAAGTGGCTGGCTGCGACTGACGTCTCCACCTGCTGGCCGTCCTGACCCTTGCTACATGCAGCTCTCGGTCCCCACCGCTGCCGCCGGTACTGTTGCTGCTGCTGCTGCTGCAATATTTTATAACAAACGACCCAGAGACCCCGGTAGGAAAGCATGCCGAGGCAGATGACACAGTGTGCTGCTCCCACCAGGATCTACTCACATTGGATGCTCCGAATAAGTTTCCCCTGAGAAAAAGTCCAAGGAGGTAGGGAGCTAACCCTCTAACTGTGTTGCTGTCCCCCAGGGACCCTTCCATGAAGACTGAGGCAGGCGGAGCTGCTGAGAGCCTGCTGACATGACATCGGCCACAGAGTTTGAAAACGTGGGCAACCAGCCACCATACAGCCGTATCAATGCCCGCTGGGATGCCCCAGACGACGAGCTGGATAATGACAACAGCTCAGCCAGGCTCTTTGAGAGGTCCCGGATCAAGGCCTTGGCAGGTACCGTTTGGGGCCGCAGGGGTTGGAGGGCATTCCTGAAATTACAGGGTTCAGACCCTCCCCACCTAGTGTGAATCTTCCATGTGTGTTGGGTGAGCCCTGGCATGGCAGTGATGGAGACGTGTTTGCCGGGCTCAGGGAGGTGGGGTCCCCTTGGGAGGGAGCACAGGCTGGGGCAGCCTCTGCCTCCAAGGGCCTCTGAGAAGTAAGGAGGTGCTGGAGCTGGGACCAGGTGGGGCCTGCCCTCTGCCTCTGTCCTGAGTGACCTGTGGCAAAGTGAGAAGTACAAGAAAGTCTGGAAAAACAGTGTCTGAGGGCTGGACAGCTGGGCACAGGTGCATGGGGCCTCCTGGTGCATCCCGATTTCCTGCCTGGGCCTGGAGAGAGGAATTGTCATCGTCCTCTCTCTGGTCCCAAAAGGAGTGATTGGATAGGAAATTGAGAGCAGTTAACATCCTCCCCACTGCCTCAGGAAGGATTTTCTTGATGAAACCTTTCATCCTTAAACTGGAATTAGATTTTTGCTTAGCAGGTTCATAATAGATCTCCCCGCTCTCACTCTCTCTCCGCCTCCCCCGTGTGTGTGTGTGTGTGTGTGTGTGTGTGTGTGTGTGTGT